ACCTTGGTGGCGCCCGAACACAGAGAGGGGCATATCTTAGCTCTGACCCCACCTCGGCCTCCACATGCTTCGGGACAAACTTCATGTCTTCTGGGGGCAATACATACACCTAAAATACACAAAGTATTAGACTTTCTGTCACTAATTTTTGTTTTAATATGTGTACTTCTAGATAAAATTTTCACAAATTAAAGCCAAACTTGACTATGTTCTGAATAAAAAAATCTTGTATCTTTAAGTCTCTATCCATTAGACCCCAGTACTATCTCTCCCTTATATACCTTGGCTGTCCCTGTGTGAACCCTGTTCTTGGCGTCAGCGGCTGTGATGGTGGCCTCTCCCCGTTTTCCGGTTGTTATCTCCCCTCTGACGCTGACGGTGGTGGTCTCCACGTTAGAAGAGCTCCACACATACTCCCCACTTCCTCCCTTTACCTGTCACATGACAAAGGTAAATCTTAATGTTAGAAGCTTGTGGGAAAATTTAATCAGAGGCAATTCTGACTATTTAAAGCTTAAAGTATAATCAAACATAACATTCAGTCTGCATTGAAATGAATCTGTGTACAGACAATTCTTTGTTTTGCTACCTGTAATCTGTACTGGTGACTTGTGGGTGAGTGGGGGTCCCAGGGAAAGTAGAGGGTCTCAGGTCTCACTCGAATTGGGTCAAAAATCTCCACTGAACGGGAGCCTTTTACAGTAGGGTTAACTTCTATCTCTGTACCGTCCTACAGTAAAATACACATCATAATCTCTTCATCACAGGATCAAGTCAATACAGTGAAATATCAACCCTCAGTAATACATGATGTTGACTTTATGACATTTTATGAAGTGATTTTTGGTTAAATTATCAACTTTATTTTTCTTTATAGGAACAAACAATGTCATGTCACATAAAATTGAAAGTTATCCTACATGTCCATACAGTCAAACATCTTCCCTTGAAAGTTGCTAAAGAAAGGCTAGACTCTCTATAGTCTGTCCTCTGTCTGTTTCTTTTTAAACAACTTTTCTTTATTCATCGAATAAAAACTTGCAGTTTATTATGGATATAATTCACCACCTCTTGTACAATGGCTTTCAAGACTCCTTCAATGCTGGTTTTCCCTGGCTTCAGTGTGTACACGTGGTGATAAGTCCCGTTCTTAGTGGAGAATCTCACATCAAAGTATTCTTTAGGAAACAAGGCCCTCAGTATAACATTCTACAAACATTAAGTATTGTTTCATTGTTGAATGAAACATTTCTATAAAACATGGCTATTTTTATCATTCAGCTCACACTTACATCAGATGGGTGGATTTTGTGGCTGTTTTTATTGTACAATTCTATAATGGTGTACTTACATCAGATGGGTAGATTTTGTGACTGTTTTTATCATACAGCTCAATGACAATGGTGTACTCTTTCTCAGTCTCCAGGACCCACTTCTTGTCCGGCAGGACCACAAACCCGAGGTAGCTAGGGGCCACAACGTACAACATGGCACTTGGTTTAACAAGGGCATCCTGCTTAAGATCTCAGAACTGTTAAGGAATCATATACTTTCTGGGGTTCAACTCAACTTTAAAATTGGAACTAAACTTTTGAACTAAATCATGAATTCATCAAAAAACTAATTATTATTGCACCTTGCGAGTTTAATTCAAAATAGTTTGAAAAACAAGAATTTTGGTATAAATAGAAATAAAACTATTGATGTAGTGGGTCAGAGCTGGAAGTAAGCAGAACAAGGATACTTCTGTCTGTCAGCACGATCTCCGTGGAGCCGATTTCCTGTCCTGTTGCTATGGAGGTTTTCGCGTCTAAGTTACAAACACCGTCATCCTGTACCTCCAGGAAGAACTGGGAGGAAGGCAGCGAGATTTCTGTCAAAAACAAAAATAGTATCTTATAGATAAATAATGTCACCTAGGTATCTGATAAGAAGGCAGGGAAATTTTTGTGAAAAACAAAACAGGTATATCTTGTAGAGAAATAATGATGCCTCAGTATCTGTAAGGGCAGCAAAGAAATCTCGCACATCGAAAATACATATATTTTTACTAATATTAAGGAGGCTAGGGGTCAACAAATTATTTTTTTTTATTAACCACCAGATATACCATAAATTTTGGGATATGATATCTTTTGCTAAGAAGAATTTCATAAATTTTAGTTTTAAAATTTGATCATTTTGTTATATCTTTATATGGAGCTCTTCTCCTAAAGGAGATCAAAATAGTCTAAAAATGGCCAAAACCACCAAGCCTCTTTAATGTTGGGCAAGAACAAACACAGATATTAACTTTTTACTGCTCATCTATCATAAAGCTCTGTTTGATCAGCTTTACCGCATATTTTAGGTTATCTAAATTTAATTCTCTGGTTCTCAGGCCAATTTTCTCCAAAAAAGATGCGGGAGGGCGGCATTTATCATTTTACAATTAAGTAGATGAGGGAGGTATTTTTTTAATTTGAATTTTCGAATTTTCTTTAAAATAAAGATATTTTTTTATTCACAGATATACATGTACTTTCCATTTCTTTTCAAAGGGTGTGCTTTATCCATTGCTTATCAGCGTGTGAACATCCTTTTTGCAAATGGCTACCGGAAGTGATATTTGAGTATTAAACTACGAAAAAAAGGACAGAACTTTTTTTCCGGATTGATCTCTGCAATACCAACCTTTTATTTTATCAAAAATACAATAAAATTAGTGATGCGGCTACCTCTAAACGGATGCACGTGGGCCGGAGAACCAGAATTTTAATTTTAGGTAGCCTTAATTGTGGCGTGTTTTACATGTATTGTGGCATGTTTTCTTACCTATCATTGAGCTGTTCGATCAGCTTTACTGCATATTTTATTGTGGCGTGTTTTATTGTGGTGTGTTTTCTCACCTATCATTGAGCTCTGTTTGATCAGCTTTACTGCATATTTTATCGTGGCGTGTTTTAAGATGTAAGCCTCTGCAGGACTGATGATTAAGTTGGCCACCACTACTAACTTCACAACTGGTGATTTTACGTCCTAAAACAAAAATATATTTATGTTAAAAGATTACAGATACTTATAGAAGTTATCTTTTGAATTTTGGTTTATTACTCCTATTATTTTCTGTGAGCAGAAAATATATGCTTAACTTAATTACAATATACAAGCACAAAAAACACCAATTGGTACCAATAGCAGCCAATGTAAATATATTTGAACCCACTAGAAATAAGTTTGATAGTTTGCTGTAGAATACACCAGACCTTGTATGCCAGCTTTAACGAGTGCGCTCCCTACCTTGTATGCCCTGTCTCTGATGCGAGTTTTAATGAGTACACTCCCCTACCTTGTATGCCCTGTCTCTGATGCGAGCTTTAACGAGTACACTCCCCTACCTTGTATGCCCCGTCCCTGATGCGAGCTTTAACGAGTGCGCTCCCAGTCCTCATCCCCTCCACCAGGATCAGATCTCCCTGTAGACCCTTGGCCTCCAGCTGCTGTATGTGATTAGGCATCACATAGTGAGACTCAGTAAACTTGGTGATTCTGAAAAATTAGAGGCCTTATAAGTTATACCCACTTATAGGTACTGAACACAATGAATTTAATGTACAGCATGAAAAAAAAAAACATGTATTCTGATGGCTAAAATTGTCCAAATTAATGACAACAGACCAAATTAATGGAGAGTGTCAGTTTACTGATAAAATTCTCAGCAGTTTTCACAAAGAGAATAGCTGGATGATTTCCTTATAAACTTACGGATTAGCCGAAGAACTGTAGCTTGCTAGTCTGAAAAACTTAGGATGGATGACCAGAGAGCTACAGTGCCATCCATTGAAAAAAAAGGTGTAACTATTGCAAACAAAAATTTGTTCTGTATCTTCATTTATTTCTCCATGAATGTTAGTATTAAGGTGTTTATAAATCCGTGAATTGAAGAAACAGTGAATAATTTTTCAATAATTTCCATGTTTTATTCCGAAATTTGAGAAAAAGACTACGATAGATTTATATACATGTACGTGCAGTACATGGTCATTTCAGTAATTACAAGTAGCACCGCACTTGTCATATGATTATTTTAATTATCACGCTTTAATTTAATTAAAATTAATCGGCTGATAATAACCTGGTATTTGTTAAAAAGCTGTTTTAATGGCCAGCGCTACACGTTTCTTCAACCAAAACACGTGGGCCTTGGGTTTTGATTACCCGTGCGTAATTAATGTTACCACGTGTATTTGTTACCTGCATTATCGTGCATATTAGTTTTTATCGACATTTCGGTTTTAAAAAAATATTTAAATAACTATCGAACTTACTGAAGATGTGGAAGGATATTTTTTCGTCGTCCTACATTAACACATTTATTACCGTCCAGTGGTTATTCGCCGCGTTGTATTAAAGATCTTGGGTGTGCATGCACTCATCGTAATAGCATATAGGAAAGTAATTTGACGTTTATTAGTCAAGGACTTTTGATAACTGCACTTGTTTTAATTAATTGTCAATTATTTATTTAATCGAACTATTTTATATAAATCTACGCTCTTGTTTTTGAGATAAAGACAACGTGTCATTTACATGTAGCTATGGTATGGATAAAACAGACGTAGAAAAGGGAGGTAACTTTTTTAATATACAAATTCCGCGAATTCAAGAAACCGCGATCGTGTCAGATAAGAGAAAAACGTGAAAATTACAACCCGTGAAATTAATCCCCTATACAGTAATACGTTAGGAGCACACTAGGGCTGGGATGATACAACTTTTTCTATATCGATACTAACACGATATTTGAGCCACAAAACGATATGTATCACGATATGTTTAACTGCCTATAAAATCTTTTTTTGCATTGAAATAAACAATTATTTCTTTGCAAATGAGAATAATTTATTCAAAATAGTTGTTCATATGTTGTAAAACAAAAATATTTTACTCAAGTGTTGTTAATTATTATTTATTTCATATCTACATGTATATTTAGGCTATCTAAATTTAATTCCCTGGTTCTCAGGCCAATTTTCTCCAAAACAGATGCGGGAGGGCGGCGATTTATTTTTCATTTTATTGGCAATAAAGTAGATGAGGGAGGTATTTTTTTAAATTTTAATTTCCGAATTTTCTTTAAGATAATTTTTTTAATCACAGATATACTTTCCATTTCTGGTCAAAATTTCTGCTATATCCATTGCTTAACAGCGTGTAAACATCGTAGGTAATGTCCTCGAATGTATTTTCAAACGAAGTAGCCAAAATCTCATTGTAAATGGCTACCGGAAGTGATATTTGAATACTAAACTACGAAACAAATGAGGTCGGAAATTTTTTTCCCGGATTGGTCTCCGCAATATCAACTTTTTATTTTATTAAAAATACAATAAAATCGGCAATGCGGCAACCTCAAAACAGATGCGCGCGGGCCTGAGAACCAAGATTTCAATTTTATATGGCCTTATATTTAACTTATTTTTTTTATATATTAAACCCCAAATGTTAGATAAACAATGAAAAACAGAAGTAAGATTTTTTGGGGCGATATTTCGATATTTCTTCAAATGTATCGATATGTGTATCGTCCTCACATATATCACAATATATCGATATATCGTCCCAGTCCTAGAGCACACAGATATTTTGAGATGACAGCTGAATCTATGGAGAAAATAAATCAAGAAATTGGACATTTTGGGGCCCAATGAATGGCATTGAAGCTCTGTTATACTATCCAATTTTTTTCAGACCAGCAAGCTATAGATGTAAATCCACTGACAGACATACCAGTCAGTTATAGATTTCTATCTACACTACAGACAGACAAACCTGAGGATTTCCACCATCTCCTCCCGCTGGGTACTTGTGTCGGGGAGTAAACTCCACTCAAACTCCAATCCAGCCAAACTAGAAAACACATTTCCTACAACAAGCACAAAATTCTTTTTTACACTTGAAAAAAATTTTGATTTTTTCTTTAACCTTCCATACAATTTGCAATTGCAGCCAAAAACATTAATAAAACTGTGAAGGTTTAAGAACTGTTAGAAAATGTTTTACTACTGGTCAAAAGTCAGTTAAAAAAGAATACAAATCAAAGTCATCCTTCAAGACCTTTAAGTCCTGTCAATAAAGTTACCATAATTAAGTAGGCTTCTTAACAATCAACTCTACCTTTTTCCTATTCTTATCTTAACAATTATGTCTACCTTCTTCATCATATCCTTTAATTATGAGCTCCTCTGGCGAGTCTTCTAGATACAATAATCGTGTGGTGGTCTCGATCTCAAATCGCGATATCGCCTCCACAATCACAATGCAACGAAGTACTTCTCCAGTTACTGTTAAAAAAAAAACCACAATCACTTTCTAATCTGAATCTGTGATAAAAATGAATACAGGTGTATTTATCATACTTATAAGAGTGATCAATTCTTTTTTTTCGTTTTAGACATCACCTTTATTTTCAGCGAGCACCATGGAGGTTTTCCTGTAGGGTGACTTAGACACTGCGGAAATGACGGCCGAGAACGCGCACTCTCCATCCGTACTGTTAACCAGCTGAATCATGGCCACTTCCTGCTGAGTGGACTGCCTGTAAGAGTGGTACAGAATTACTGGCGACAATATAGTAGGTAACTTTACACAGGGTAATATTTGCCCCTTTTTATTTTCACCCCTTTCACCCTCGTTACAAGTGGGCGAATTCAAAACGGGGTGAATTCAAAGAACACAGTATGAATTCTTAAACAGAACCGTGACTGGGTGAATTTAAAACGGGGCAAAAATGTTAACAAGTGTAAAAGGGTGAAAATAACATGGGTTGAAAATAACCCTGCATACAGTATGTTCAATATGCACAAGGATCAGATCTAATTGCAGGAGAATATCTGCAGTTATCTTGAATATAATGTTCTTGTAGAGAAATTAAAAAAAGAAATTCTAATTTCATCTAATCTCACTAGGTTTCTCGTGAGATCTTGGAAGTGCAACTAAATATCGAAGTCATATTCTGAACTGTTTTATGCAGTATGAAGTTCAAAGAGGTGTATCAAAGTCGAAGTGCAAGCTATGAAATTTTTCATTATATGCAACTGTGCTTGTTACAGTGGTTCGCTGGTCCAACCTTGAAATATTGGTCTTAAGTACAAAATATGTCTAGTCAGTCACATACATTTATGACTTTTAATCTTTTTCTTAATTTTGAAAAAATGCTTGAATGTGAGAAACTGTTATACATTGATAGTGTGGACATAAGAAGGGCAAGTGCAGATACCTATTCAGGTTATTTTAAATTCTGAACACTTCAAACCGCATGCAACATTTGGCATGTCTAGACTCTATCATCATATCATTTAATGACAGCATAAGAAACTTGAAAGGATAATGCCAAAAAAAAATTAAATCAGATCAAAGACTACGTGTAGGTCCAAATTTTCTCTTGGTCCAGGCATTGTTGTTAGAGCTAGCAGTGCAAGCTGTGCCTTGCTGCACTTCACTGCACTTGCTTTTAAATGGTTATAGCGAGCACAGAGAGTTCAATAGACTAAAGTGTAAGAACAGAGGAAATTCGGAATAAAATCTGTACATATGTCATGCAAAATTTTGTTTGAAACCTTCTCAGAATTCCTTTGCTACCAGGATTCCATATAAATAAAATAAATAACATAAAAGGGTTCAGTTTGTAGAAGTCATAAAAGAAACAAAAAATACTCTACAATGTTTTTTGTCAAAATTGTTTAGTTTCAACCAGACACTCGGCTATTTCCATAAACCCTGACGAGCTCCGATATGTCACAGTCGAGATGTCTGGTGCAACTTGATGTTTGAAGTGGTGGATCGATGTTTCAAGTGTATTTTTTTATGGTACAATTGCACTTGCCCCAACGGTCACACCCTTAAACATATTATCAAGCTATTTTGAATAGCTTAATTAGTGATATTCAGTCCATACTATGTAAAGAGATTATGCTGGACCTCTGGTATGCTTTATCATCATGACATGGTTCAAGTTTTATTTGCAGCATTACTTGACTTAACAAACTCCAATAAGATAGAAGGACATTTTCATAGGGGGGGGGGGGGGGTAAGAAATAATCACTATGGCTTGACAACCGCGACCTACCATGTGTAACAACTGTCTGGAAGTCTAGCTTCTTCTCTCGATAAATTGATTTTCAAAGTGAAATTTGTGATGACAGAGCTATGGTATGGCAGTAGAATCTTAGGGTCACTCAGTCTTGCTGAGTTTATGACAATCACTGCGGCAGTCAGTAAAATAAATAAACACAAAATAGTGTTTTGGTTTATCTTTGCCGCCATTCTGTAGATGAATGGGGGCTGCCATGAAATTAATCTCTAAACAAAATGTGTATCATATTTCAAAACGATTTAAAAATTCTAAATACAAAAAATTAATTTTGGTTCAATAAATATGAAATATTTTAGAACATATATTAAAGAATATGTATTCTATTTAATTACAAATTATTTGAATTTGTTTAGAGACTATAAAGCACTGACGAAATTTCCCGGATGACACCCCGCCATATTTGTTTATGAACCACTTAGCTTCCTGGACAAGTCGACTGAAATAGTATCTATGGTGGTTTTTTATTAACGTAGATCGTCAAGAAAGCCTCCAAAATGGCGAGTGATTTTGACCCAGAGGATAAATACAGGTATTTATTTGTGAGTCAGAAGGAAACTCGAATTAGACAGCCCCTCCTATAAAAAAAAAGTCCATCATAATAGTAATACAGAAGATTGATAGATATATTGCCTTTCTGAATTTATGTGAAACACAAAAAGACACCTTTTATGGGCTTTGAGCTATAAACAAAATAAAAACAAATAGAGAATTATGACTGTCCATTGTCTAGTGCCAGCACAATTCTGACCAGGGTAACTGTGCTGGTATTCCAGTAATGTTATGACTCAGAACTTTAAAAACTTGTGAATGACATAATTGTTAATGACTTTAATGTGCAGTTGACTTTTCCTGTTATAAGACTACCTAGAGGACCTGTTACTTTTATGTGGAAAAGTTCTTTATGTTTTAAATATTTTTGCAGTCTTCTAAGCAATGACACAAAGTATCAGGCCTTTAATTCTCAACAGTTCGTAAAATCATACACATATGTATAATATGTAATATGATGACGGTGCGACCATTAGGGTGAGCGCAGATACTAATCCAGTTTTCATTTAGATCAGACTTGTCAAACCTCACGTGACATTTGGTGCATGTAAGACTCTGACTTCTCAAGACATTGTTTGTTGCTTTACCAAACCGAAGCCTGAGCAGGTGATTTCAATCAGTTTATGACTATTTTTCTGCAGTAAACAGATAAATTCATGAAGCAAGGCAAATTGATTATTCAATTAACTTTTGTCCTTATTCTCGCGAGAACGTTGCTTTATAGTTTGTGTCCGAAGCGATGCATTGTGGGTCCAAATTACTGCGGAAAAAATTTTATGGAATATGAATGTGCAGTAGTCCAAATTTTCTCTTCGCCCAGGCATTGTTGTTAGAACTCGCAGTTACGAGCGTCGCGAAGCGACGCTCGTTGTGCTTGTTATAATTTGTCTGACAGTGAAATTGTAAGGGCTAGTGCAGCTTCATTTACATGATGGACCTTTTTGAATGTTGTTTTGCATTTCACCTCTGACTTTACCTTCTTAAGTCTGTGTTCACTGCATGTTACAGAGCTCGACATTAAGGCTTCTCCCCTTGTCCGGTACCAGTGAAAAAAAATTACAGACAAGTGAATATTGCATGGCACTTATTCGATTTGACAAATGTAAAGCAGACCTGTTACTCTTACGATTTCGCCGTACGTATTTTATACGGATTTTTAGTACGAAATACGTCTCACGTTATGATGTAATGAAAATACGGAAATACATTTGTTCGGAATTTCGCAGTAAAAGGGTTCGTTAATTTCGTTTTAATAATAAAATTGATTGATTGTACGTTGTTTAACGTCCCTCTCGAGAATCTTTCACTCATATGGAGACGCCACCACTTGCCGGTGGAGAACTGCAAGTTTGTCCTCTTCTCAGGCCATTGAGCGAGGAGGGGTCTTTGTCGTGCCAGCACCTACTGCGTCTTTACTTCGCGACTCTAGAGCAGACGGTTTAACCACTCTGCCAAGCCGGCGACTTAGTAATCAGAAAACAGTTTTCTCCATAAGTATATTTAAAATCAATAAAAAATGAAATCTCACTGATAAATGCCAACTCTCACGGAAATATTTCATCAAAATTACTGAGAAACAACGATATGGGTAAACACGTCTGGTAAAGGAGTCTCTAAATAAGAAAAAAGAATGACTGTTGAAAGTTAATCGGTAGTTTTAAGACAGAAGCTGTACTTTGATCCCGATAGGGATCACTATTAATTGAGTTCACATTCGACTGGGATTGAAGTTCACTAATTGCATATTACTAGAAAGGCATGAAAAGTACAAAGTTGTGATTCTGTTTGATGTTGACAGGTTGACTTGTGAACATTCTGAACTTCTCATACAAAATCGGAAATATCTGAGCCACTAAGTTACTGACTAAGTGATAAAAACATGAAGTCCTACACAAAATCATGATCAAACATTTTATATCCTCTTCAAGCTCTGGAGGAAATCTGAGTCATGTTTACTCAGGGTTCCAAACTCACTAGAAACAACAGCTGCCACAGGACTGGCTACCCTTAAAAGTTATTGGCCCTGCTGATTTGAATCTGCCAGTAGTCCATGTAGTCTGGGTATCACAACTGAAAAATCCTATTGTGATTTGTGATATATTGCAATATTAAATTTTTTATTGCAGTGTATCACAATATAAAATCCATAATCAGTTTAGCTTTTTCCATCTTACATGAAAACACAAATGCAAATTTTGTGTTCTGGAGTTGATATTGACATTGTCTGGTTTATTGTGTTGTCACAAGTGCTTGGCTGAGTTTGTTGTGCACAAGAATTTTTCGGATCACATTGCAATAGTGAGATTCAGCTTTAACTTAAAGATGTTTCATGTATGATGTAGCAGCCAGCTGTTAATTATCTTTCAATTTCTAAACAATTCTGCATCATTTGCAACCATATTCTACTTGAAAAACAGGCAGGTAATTCTGTATAACGTTTTATAAAACCTGAACAAGCATTGAAAAAAATAACATGTTACATATTATGAATACATATTATGAAGAACGAAATGGGGATATACCAGTTAACTGGTATAAAATATCACACAGCACTTTCTGCCAGACCTGATTAAAAAGCTCAATATTGTTCTGAAAGTATTAACTTGAGTCTCTGATTTTGTCCTGATTTCTGTAATTTAAAGAATTGTGGAATACTTTTAAAAATGGTTTACTCTATGCATAGTATTAATTGAAATGAAAACAAAACGTGTTGACAGTGGGTCTAAACTATATTTATACTTGTTTCTTTTATAGTTGGTATTTTGGGACCCTTTCGCGAGATGAGACCAATGAGATATTAAATCCAACAGAGTCGGGAGTATTTCTGGTCAGGGATAGTCAGTCTATACAGGGAGACTTTGTTCTCTGTGTCAAGTAAGTACAAGTACTGAATCACAAGCAGTGGAATCTAATTATAATTTTATTTGAATGATAGAAAGAAATCTAACCAGTAAATATTGTATAAATGATTATAATTTGATGAAATATTAGCTTGTTTTGATAATTTTTAAATATTAATATTTACATTTGCCCAATGATAATACCTTAGGCCAAATAAAAAATTTGTGTGGTTCCAGTTACCCTACCTTCCCTATTTTTCACCATGTTCACCCCTGACCCTAAACTTTTTTTTTTGGGGGGGGGGGGGGAATTTCATTTTTTTTTTCCGGAACATTATCTCTTTCCAGTGTCAAGACAATTATGACCCCTAGAGAATAATGACTTGGGGGGGGGGGGGGGTTCATAACTAGGCACCCATCAGTGTTGACTAGTATATTATCATGCCACATTTAAATGCCACCTGCAAATCAATTATATGTATTACGAAGAAAAAATTTAAATATTTTGTAAAGGAAAAAAAAATCCCTACCTACCTATCCTAATTTTTTGCAAGGTGTAACCGGAACCTTACCTATTTTTTTGTTTGGCCTTGTTTGGCCTTATAGCATGTATATATTAAGCATTGTATATTAAGGAAGCAGATATTAATACCGTTTTAAGGACTGTATTACTTGATACTAGTGTGTTGACTTCCTGATTCTTGGTTTTATTTACAGAGAAGAAAACAAGATCAGCCACTACATCATCAACAGAATCCACGTAGGGACAGGAACCAGATTCAGGATCGGTGACCAGGAGTTCTCAGACATTGCTAGTCTTCTTAGCTTTTACAAAACACATTACTTAGACACCACCTCACTAATTAAGCCTGTAAGTACATTACTTCGACACCACCTCACTAATTAAGCCCGTAAGTACATTACTTAGACACCACCTCACTAATTAAGCCCGTAAGTACATTACTTCGACACCACCTCACTAATTAAGCCTGTGAGTACATTATTTAGACACCACCTCACTAAATAAATCTTTTAGTAAACTCAAGGTTGTCCTAAGAATTTAAGTAGAATGAAATCTGGGGTTCCCCCCAGATTGGGAGTTTAGAAGGAATACCAAAATATCCAGGGGATTACATCAATATAGACAGAGAAATTCTCTGGTCCCATGTGTCAGGGACAACCCTGAAACTCTGCACTTAAGTATCAGTCATTTACTAAGCCTGTAAGTAATAGACATACTGTGTATTCTATATTCAAAGTGTTTAATTTACTACACGTAGTAAAGACATATTAAAATGACTGGGAAGTTCACATTAAGTTCACTTAAAACACATTGCAAATCTCAAGGTAAGATATGTAAAGCAATGTTAAAAACAAGGAAATTATCTGATAAAGTGGACTGCCTATATCATATGATATTACTTGCATGTAGTATTCTTACAACAGCTATCACTTTTAGTACACAGTGATACAAATTTTTCATTGGGCAGATGCCTTTGATATCATTAAGTTGTGGCACTTCAAAAATACTTGAAAAGAGGTTTATTATGCACCATATATACATAGGTCAGTAGGTCACAGAAGCAAATCTTAGGAACTGATCTTCTATATTGACTTCTGTGACAAAGTTTTGTTTTGTTATTAACAATCTCATGCTTGGTTCATCAACGTGTTATTATACTTAATGGTCCTATGGAAGAGTTAAAAATTCACAAATATTTTACAGAATTAAAAAAACCCAGATGTTTTCTTAGCCACTAAGTCACTGAGTTGTATCAAGTAGGATTCAAT